TAATCAGTTTTCCGTTTATTAGTTACAAAGTCGTAGGAGAAGAAAAAAGAAGAGAAAAGAAAAATGTGTGCATAATTTTGGGTGTGGATGTGGGTGTGGGTGTGGGTGTGGGTGTGGGTGTGGGTGTGGGTGTGGGTGTGGGTGTGGGTGTGGCTTTGAATAAAAGGAAGAGTAAAATGCACACGCCCACACCCACACTACACCCATACCCACACTCACACCACACCCACACCCACATCCACATCCACATCCACACCCAAAATTATGCACACATTTTTCTTTTCTCTTCTTTTTTCTTCTCCTACGACTTTGTAACTAATAAACGGAAAACTGATTAATGAAATAGTAACTATATTGCTAAGTATGAAATCTCTTCACAAATGTTGATTCAATTTTGAAGGCTGTAGTGAGAGAGTGGATACGTGTTAGTCTTTTATGTAAACACATTTATCCATCTCCACATCTGAAATTTTCAAAGAGCGTCTGCGAGTGGCATGGTTGTTCTATTTGAAAAAGTCCTTCTCTTGTAATTTGGATCATTGTTATCATAAAAGATGAGGGCATCAATATAGGATGTAATCGAGAGCATTGATTTATTAGTTGCCTTCAACCCTTAAGCTCGATTTAAAGGCGATACATACAAAAAATCTATTTTCTGGTCGAGCCATATCTTCACTGACACGTAAAAAAGCTGAAGAAATAGATCATGTACTCGTCATTGAATTGACAAGAGAGTTTAACGAAAAGTAATACACATAGAGAGAATAAAGATACGTTTCGTTAGCAGTGTATAAAATTAAAATTTATTGGAATCAACTAAGTACTTAAAATTCTGAAGTTAAGCCTCTCTGAATTCTAGTCTTAACACAGTTTTAATAGAAGTTTCTGTTCAATTAATTGTAGCCCTAATTCATTTCAGTGACATTGATACATTGCACTCAATTTCAACTCTAAATTCTCTCATTGTTTTAAAAATTTGAGTTCTAAACTGTTTAGTGTTCAATTTCATTCTGCAATTAATATTATGAAAAATCTACAATGGTCGTTATCAAAATTAAACATATTTGTATCTTACAGTACCATAGTTTTTTTTCTTTATTCGAAGAGCGTCTCAACCGGTTCTGAATCATCTACAAATAACCATTTTCTTCTCATTGCGTCAGAGTTAGAACAGTTAGTCTATGTCAACTTTGCAAGACTTTTTTTTAAAAATCTTGAGGAGATAGACACTCATGAATGATTTTGGTCACATTCTTTCTAGATATGAATGACTCTTTTTCCATGACAAATTTCATGTAACTTTTTCTCTTTTTGATTAATTCAGTCTATCATGAATCGGTCAGTGGAAGCATTATGGCTCTTGCAGAAGGGAAACAATTTAATCGTTACAAACACAGAACACCGACAATAGTCGAAAATCTTCATGTGTATCTTGTTCAAGCCATAGAATTTTATTTATCTGATAGCAATGTGCATGCTGAACGGATGGATCTTATTGCATATTCATTCAAACGAAACCGGCATAAAAAATATTTTGAATTTAATATTTCGTCAAGGACTAGAAAAGGTGAGGTCATTGTTAAGTACATTTCTACATGCAAAGACAGCAAAAAAATTAAATATGGGTTTCTCATCAGTTGGCTCATGCTGTATCGATCTTTTATTCTTTTTGAACTTTGGAAATCAGCAGTTTTTGTAACTTATCATGTTTCTGAAAATATTCATGCCCTTTTGGATTCAGTAGACAACAGCAGCAAGAAAACTATAGAGCAGTTACAATATTCTCCTTCATTGGGATTTTTATGGGAGAAGTTCTATCAGCTTTTTGGTTTCTCCGAATAGGGTGTAGCATAAGTTAAGAAAATATCTACAATTACACCTTTTTCACAAAAATCAAAGCAGTGCCAATACTCAAATAAAGGGAATGTCAAGCAGCATATCAACAACAATATAATAATGTTGTCAACGTTACTGTAAAAGTACATCATTTGAGATGCTTTCGTATTGAGTGACGCATCATAATATTAACAATAGGTGTGCTTCAACAACAATAATACTAATAATAACAATCAAATAAATCCAATGAAAATATTGCTGATATTCTATGATTGTAGAACCAATCAATGTAACTAGAATCAAATCAACAACTGCGTCGAGAGTTTTAGTAAAGACATAAATGTACGCATAGTTCTCCTCGTAACTCTCGTTTAGGGGTGGGAAGTCACCGTTGCCGTTACCAGTTACTTTTTTCTGGTAACTTCTCAAAAAGATGAATTATCACTTCCATTCCACCGAATATCGTCATTACATCATTTATTCACTTGACCCGTTCCCAAGTAACTGGTAACGGATAACAATTACCAGTTACCAGTTACCCTGGTAACTCCAAACTCTGTTTACTGATGTATTGTCGCTATTCGGTCGAATAGAAGTGATAGTTCGTCTTTTTGAGAAGTTACCAGGAAAAAGTAACTGGTAACTTTTTCCATAGCAACCGTTACCGTTACCGGGTAACGGTATGGGAACGGTAACTTCCCACCCCTACACCCGTCCACTCATACTTTACAGCTAAATTTTTTCGATGGAAATCTAGGTTGATAAGTCACTTAATATAACACATGGTTTGATTCAATTTCTTTTGTTGATATAAAAAATGTCATTTGTTTTGATTAAAAACAAGGCAAGTGAATTGAAATTTGATTAAACAAGGTCAAGATAGGCAATGCTCAGTACTTTTGAATATAGTTCGCCTCAGTTTGTAGTTTTGCTTACAAATCAAGTTCAATGTAATAGCATCATTTTGTAGAACTTAAAAGAAATCGAATCGTTTTTATTCTGATAGGGAGTCGATTTCATTGCTTAAGAAGTCTCTCCATCGTCAGCATGTTTTCAGAAAATGGATGAGCATATTATGAGAAGCATACATAACTCAATGGAAACGGCGCCATCAGTTGATTGCATTTTGAGCTATAACGCTCTATCATTCGATATGTTCTTTATTCAGAAAAATATTTCAAAAAAAGGTTTTGTAAGATTCTTTGAAAAGATCAGGGTACGTTGGTTAGAAGAAAAAATCCGGCTTGATATTAGTCGAAGAGAAACTATGTCAGTTAAAGAAAAAATCCTTATTGGTATAACTCAACGCTACTGAAATTACCGCTTTCAGTATTACCGCCAGTAACCAAGATTTTGCCACTGGTCAAGACAGAAGCTGTGTGATATTGACGTCCAACAATCATATTATCCGTCTTTGTCCAAATTCCTGTTGATGGATCATATAGTTCTGAACTATTCAAGATTCCAAAAGAATTGCTTCCACTATAGCCGTATCCACCAGCCACTAAAACTTTTCCATTGGCCAAGACAGAGGCTGTGTGATAATAACGTCCATCAGTCATATTACCCGTCTTTGTCCAGATTCCTGTCATTGGATCATATAATTCTGAACTATTGACGGGTTTCCAATAACTATATTCATCGGAGAAGTATCCACCAGCTACTAAAACTTTTCCATTGGTCAAGACAGAGGCTGTGTGATATTGACGTCCAACATTTATATTACCCGTCCTCGTCCATATTCCTGTCGTTGGATCATATAATTCTGAACTATTCAAGTATCCCCAATAACTGTAGTCATCAGATCCGCATCCACCAGTTACTAAAACCTTTCCATTGGCTAAGACAGAGGCTGTGTGACAATAACGTCTGAAATGCATATTACCAGTCTTTGTCCAGATTCCTGTCGTTGGATCATATAATTCTGAACTATTCAAGAAGTCCAAATAATTGCGTCCATCAAATCCGTATCCACCAGCTACTAAAACTTTTCCATTGGCCAAGACAGAGGTTCTGTGAAAATAACGTCCAACAGCCAAATTACCCATCCTCGTCCAGATTCCTGTTGCTGGATCATATAATTCTGAACTATTCAAGGATTCCAAATAACGATATTCATCGGAGCAGTATCCACCAACTACTAAAACTTTTCCATTAGCCAAGATAGAGGCTGTGTGATAATAGCGTCCAAGAGTCATATTACCCATCCTCGTCCACATTCCTGTTGCTGGATCATATAATTCTGAACTATTCAAGGGTCCCCAATAGCTATATCCATCATATCCGTATCCACCAGCAACTAGAACTTTTCCGCCGATCAAGACAGAGGCTGTATGAAGATATCGTTCATCATTCATATTGTTCGCAATTGTCCATTCTAGAAATGAGAAAAATTTAATGCACATCTAGCTTAACGTTTTCCATGAGAATCATACATAATGTGTTTGTGTGGGAATGTTTACAGAAACCATATACACTCTTCACTTCCCAAGGCTTGCTAAGTTTCTACATTCTCAAAGACATTATTAGACGAGTATTTAGACAGCAAAATACTTACGCTAATTTTCGACTCAAAGGGATCACTTTTCCTGCACGAAAATATTCTTTCTTCCAGCATAAGACTTTCTTCTTTACAATAAGCTTCAAATGGTGAACGCTCTATATACATTATTGTCATCTGTAGACTGCATATTATATTCGTGTTCAACAAAACCTCTATCAACTATCATACTATTACTAATAATAGTATGATTAAATATAATTGTAGATTTTAAAATGAGACAAATGAAACAAGATGGTAGCATTACAATTAGTGGTTCTGTGACTTACTTCCAATATATGGTGTAATATTGAATGACGTAGTACTGGAGAACGTTGTAGTGGATGATGTTGTAGTAGATGGTACTCTAGCTGAGGATGTCGTAGTAGATAATATTCTAGTGGAGAATGTTATAGTAGATGGTACTCTAGTGGAGGATGTTGCAGCTCTTGTAGTGATTGCTGTTATGCCTAGTGAAAAATAAGTGTGCGAATAGTGAATTTTGCACAAGGATGAGGTGTGCCATTTCTTCCCAGTGTCCCTATTTTCTCTGGCTAGTAGTATATGAAATTGAAACTTATTATTACATATCATCAGCTGCCTGTTTTGAAATAGTCTACTAAGTAGTGGACTTTTATTTGCCATCTCTGACACAGTGCTTATCACTTGGCTTTCTTTTTATCGAGAAAATGAAGGGATAGTACATTTATTTTGATCAAATCTATTCAAGAATTTTCAAAATCATTATCATTAAGAAACAGCTACTGCTTTAGCTAAAATGTTCGGTGAAATCCTTTGAAATTTGAATTTTGTAGGCCTCACTTTCTAAAAAATATGCATCAGCGTCATAGTAAACACTATAGAGTTCTAAGTCTTTGCACCAGTTTCTTCACTTTTTTAAGTTTTTGCCGACAGATTCATTATTGAAAATCTTTGTAGCCTGACATAGTTGAGCTTTAAAAGGTTCAGAGATCAATACGGGGATCTATTTCGTTCTGAAGTTTCCCATTTCTCTCCTCAGTCATCTTCAACAAAATGTTGAATAGCTGGAAAAGCTCTTAGCCGTAGCCTAACTTGTTTGAAAATGATATTTTCTAATTAGATACTGATAATTCGCAAGAAAAAAGTTAAAGCTCAATAATTAATATTTACTTCCAGAGGATTTACTTCCCGTACTACAAATCTAGTCAGTCTTTTATAAAGTATCAACGTAGAATTTTCTCATCATTACTCTACAAACGAAATAATATCTTTGAGAATATATGATAATATTTCGTAAAACTTCAGCTAAGATTCAACTTAAATATCCATTCATATAGAACAGATTCGATCACTATAGCTTATATAGTTCTTTGTGACAAAAGTCACTTGAAATGTAATTATTTTTCTGCCAAGAAACTTCTACCGTCGATTTAGTTTTCTCTTACAGTATCTTTAACATTGTACGAAAATATCTCTGAAAAAACGTTTGCTTAACTAAAACTACAGAAGAAAACATTTAGTTATTTTGGATGATTACTTTTTTTGTTGCATTAACGTTTGACGTCTTCGCTCAATTCGTGTCAGAGAAAGCGGATGCAACGATTAACTACAAAGATTCTGTTTTGATAGAATGTCGACCATTTTTCAAATTTTAGTCCATATGTTAGAAAAATATCAAATGTATTCCCTGGGAGCCATGAGAAAAATTATGAAACATTAATTAGAATGAGTCTATGCTTGTTACTGGTAGTCAGAATTAGACACTTACTCGATGAAATAGTGCTTGATAAACTTGAAGTCCATGGAGGGCATCGTTCCAAAGAAGCTTGTTCAATAGGATAACAAACAGGAATTCTACATCGAGTATTATTGACACATACTGTATTGGGCATTCTACATGTCACATTATCACTTTCGCATGAAGTTAAATTATTACATGATATAATAGTATCGGCACACAGTTCGCTCGAAGTCATCGTCATATACAAACATGAGCAATCCAAATTTATTGAACATGGAACTGTTTTTTCTTGACACTCTAACGATGGACAACATCCACATTTAGGAGGTGTAGAATATGATGCATTTTGACCTAGAAAAAGTTTCTTAGAAGACTAAACTAGGAATGAATTCTTTAAAATGATCGATTAAAACGAAGCGATCTAATAAATTCAATCTTTTATTGATGAAATTAGAACGATTATAGAGGCAGTGAATTTTATGCATATGGAAGAATTATTTTGAGCATAGCAGAATAAATTCCTTAGTCTTACCTTTGACATTGGCAACAATAAGTCTGAAAATGATTTTATCTCTGATCAAAAGGCAATTTTTATAAAACTACGTACATCATCAATGCAATAATATATACAAGACACTGAATTCGATCCATTTGAGAAGTAAGAACTTGTCAATATACTGATGATTTTAGTAAGCGACAACTTCTTAAATACGACGAATCTTTTAGCTCAGTCAGAAAAATAAAATATGCCTGAGGTGTATTTGTTTAAATTCATCGACGGAAGTCAGCAATACTGTTTATCAATCATGTTTCATGTATTGATAATATATTCTCGCAAAGCATTTTATCGTCTTCGCGATCAGATTTGCGCATTTTGAAATCACGAAAAATACTTATTTCGAATAAAACCTTAGAAAGCTTTCGAAATGTTGTTTTTGTGCATTAACACAAAAGAACAGTAGAGCCAAATAAATTTATTTGTCTTCAAAAATGCTTGAAGGAGTATATGCATTTCTTACAGGCGATTTATTTGCACATACCATTTCAGGTTTTACGTTTCAATAGAAGGATTTAATATTTAAAGTAACGGAATCACTTTTGAAAAGAGCAATGATTTGTACAGATTGAAGTGCATATGATTGTTGAATTAACATACGATGCAAAAGTAATGGTACAAAATGCTGATACGTATTTTTCTTTGATAGAAGAGTGATGAAAGAAAAACTTTTTTACCAAAAGATAGAGCTTTTTCTCCTCTTTCGAGTCATATATAACTTATATTTCTACCACGTTTATAAATCAAGCACCGTAACAAAAAAGAAGGGCGCCCTTAAAAACGTTTCGCACTTTTCGTGATATTTAGAAAAATGGCACAAAATGTTGATTTCCTTGTTTCTTCAATAACCCTTCAATAAGCACGTTTCGATAAGAAAATTTTGTTACCAATTAATAGGAAACTTTCTCCTCTTTCGAACAGTACGTAGTTTATTTTTAATACACATTCGAAAATGAAATGAGACAGGAAAATACTTGTACAACAAGTTTATAATTTTTGTATGAACGTTTATAAAAAAAACTACAAATTTGCTGCGCGAGTGTTTCCCTTTCTTTCCTGTCGGATTTCATTTACGAATGTCTATTAAAAATAAACTACATACTGTTCGAAAGAGGAGAAAATTTTCTATCGATTGGTAATAAAATTTTCTTTCCAGCACGTATTTATCGAAGAGATATAGCGATCGACATTTTCTGCTACCTTTTTATAAAAAAAGTGCAAAATGTTTTTAAGGGTGCCCTTTTTTTTTGTTACGGTGCTTCATTTATGAACGTGGTAGAAATATAAGTTATATATGATTCGAAAGAGGAGGAAAAGCTCTATCTTTTTGTAAAAAAGTTTTTCTTTCATCACTCTTCTATCAAAGAAAAATACGCATCAACATTTTGTACCATTACTTTTGCATTGTATGTTATTTGTGAAAAGTAGCTCCATTTGTATATACAGGATGGCGCAAAAGTAACTCGTCATAAATTGTATCCTCTAATAACTGATGATAAATTGTTATTCATATTTTTCATACTTTTTATTCATGTAGTGAGGTGAAACTTTCAGTGAATAAACATCTTGATTAGATATATATGTGATAAAAATTTCAGCTCGCTACATCAATAAAAAGTATAAAAAATATGACTAATAATTTATCACCAGTTATTATAGGATACAGTTTGTGCCAGGTTACTTTTGCGCCTTCCTGTAGTGTGTCTGAGTAATTGCTTTCATTCGAATAAATATAACCGATAATCGATTAAAAACACAAAATTTCGTTTACAGTCATATTGAATGTTTTTCAATCGTGAAAAACTAACACATCGTTAGCATCTGAAGAAAGGGTGGGAGTTGCCCAGGCAGACATAGCCTTCAAAAAAACGTGTTAATACGCGTTAAAATTTCGTAAAAACGGCGGTTTTACGATAGAAATTCGTAAGAACGCCACTTTCACGAATTTTTAACACATATAAAAGCGTTAAGGACGATGAGCCCGTTAAAATGCGTAATTTTTTTTCTCAATTTATGCGTTTTTACTAGTTTTTTTTATAGAGTCTACTGGTTTTAATGCGTTCTTAGTATCATACACGTTTTAACGCAAGAATGTTTTTTTCAAAAAACGCGTTTTTCATAGAACGCGTGTTTTTGGGTTCAACTTTAACTCCTTATTTTTTGTTTTTAAGGAGGATTTTATGCGTTTTTACGCGTTCTTCGTACTCAAGCAGATAACATTTCTGAAAAACACGTTTTAACGCGGAAAGGTTAGTTGACAAAACATATTCTTATGCGTATAATTTCAAACTAGTTTTACTACGTTCAAGAATAGCTCGTTATTTTCCGTTTTTTTAAAACAATTTAGCACATGTAAACGAATTTGTTCCTTGAGGTTTATTGAAATGGAGAATCTTTAGTTAGATAAATTTTGCTTATGTGAGCATACTTGATGTAAAAGGGATTATTTATATACTTCTCTAATTTTTGTCGAGAATGGTAAATCATTGTTTAATGAAAAAAAAATGTAATATTTCAAAAAGACTTACGAATTCTTTGTTTTCTTTATATATACGAGATTATACCAGTTTTTATTGTCTACTTTATTACTTGTTTATGTATTATTTTCCTTTAAGTTCCAGTATGGTTCTGGTGTACTTACGATATAATATAACTATTTTTATATTTTTTTCTTTAATTCATTCAGCAGTTATTATGACAAATGGTCAAAAAGCTAAAGGAGATAAGTTGTAAAGTTAAATAGATATGTATGACAGCAAAAAAACGTAAAAAAAAACAGTCAGCTGTTCAAAGTGATAATTAATAATAACTGTTTCAAGAGTGTTTATGTGGATTCTAACAGATTTGGAAAGTAATAAAATTCACAAAATGAATTTATATTTGCGTCTTTTCGATAGGCAACTTTCTCTCTGATCGAGGTATAACTGATAGAAACAGTATGTGATGATGTTGGCATCATTGTATAAATAAATAAATTATTTTTATATTCTGCTCCATTAAGTGAAAATGAGTCATAACATAACCAGTAACTTGTACTGTATCAATAATAAATTTAATTTCACTTGTTGCCTTTAGTTGTATAATGCCAACAATTAAACCAACATATGTGTTTCTTCAAATTTTTTTCTCTCTTTGTGCATTTTTTAACAGCTTGTTTCAAATTATCAACTTGTGTTAATAATTTTTTGTTCTTCTCTTCTAGTTAGTTCACGATATTCAATTGAATGTAAAACATCAATTGCACGTATTTGAGCAACGATATTTATTGATGGTCGATTGGCAGAAGCTTGACTTGTTACATTGGGCAACCGGATGATAGATCAATCGATATTAAAACTAAAGAAACAAAACATTGTGAACGATGACAACACTGAAAGACAAACATTCAAACCTATTTGTGTTTTTACTTCCAATAATATCCATACGATTGTCGCTAATAGAAGGTGTATTAAGCGTAATAATACTGAAACCAACATTTATTTTCAAATTGAAATATAGATCATAGAGTATTATTATGATTTTACCTTTTCGAAACATACTGTGTTTTTTTTATCAATATTTGTTTCAGATGAAAAATTGCCACTATAAATAGATATAAGAAATTTTGAATATCTTCTTTAATTCTCTTCTTTAGATGAAATTTTTTTATTTGTAAGAATATATAAAAAATGAAAATATCTTATTTTTGCACACAAATACGACATCATATACTAAAATTTTTATCGGGATTTCCATTTTCAATTTGAAATATTTTATAGTTTCATTTGTTCGTGAAGTAAGTGTAAAATGCGAAAGATCAAACTTTCATTTTCAACTAGTTATTTGAATATCGACCTTACTCTCGAATCAAGAGAATTATTCGTAAAGCAATCTAGTATTTATAAATAAGCAAATCACCTCTGGGCTAACGTTTAATGATTCATAGGAGATTTTACCGTACCAACAGTTTTATGATACATTTGTCTATAAAAATAGATTTTCATAAATGATCTTTCTAAAGATATTGATATGAAATATGCCAATCACGTTGGTATTTGCTTGTCATTTTCATCAATCGATTGTTGTGTTAATGATAAATGATGATGTTGATTATCAACAACAATAGAACTCGATCTTGCACCAAATAAATATGAGTCAAATGGATGATTTTCAGTTGTTAATAATGATTGATCTTTAACATGACATGCATTAATATTATCAGTTGATGATGATGAAAGTAAGTGTGGATCACGAGAAGTAGTTGTTAATGTACGAGTTGCTGATGGAAAACCATCTTCAACAGATGAATCTAATTGAACAGTTTGACATAGACTGGCGTCGATTGATACGTTTATCTTGGTTGATGCAGCAGTTGAAGTCTCGATGAGATCATTGAAGATGCTATCTTCACCATCAAATGTACCTATGTAAAAATATAAAACTTTATTCAACAGATCTTTTGACGAATATCGATGAGTCCTTGGCAGTATCGAAGCTAACCTGGTGCTTTTTTTGCACGATCATAAAAATTTTCCAAATTTTTTTTCTTTTATTCATAGTCATTTTTATATTAGGATCCCAAAAGATGCGCACGACGAAACTTGCGCACCACGAAATTTGCGCACCGGAAGATGCGCACGAGTAAGTTGCGCACGGATAGTTTGCGCACGAAATAAAAAATTCATATTTACAAATAAATAATCATATTATCCACTAATGTTCGCGCCAGAATTAAAGAGGAGTGGGTGTAAGCGCAATATTTCGATAACGGCAACTATCGACCTGCAGTTTTCACCAATTGAAAGAGGACAAATCGGGATATCTTTTTCCCCGATCATGTATAAGACGAAATCCTATTAAAACTAATCATCTTAGAAAAGAATGCATGAAAATGACATGCCATCTAAGTGAAATTTTGATTTTGACCTTTGACTTAGATAGAGGAACTTGAGATCTATAGTTCAAGATACAATCCAAATGGTGTTCTTATTACATTCTAAGATTGAACAAATGGAATGATGTATTTATATGCGCGAATAATAGGGAGTTTAGCTGATTTTTTACTAAGTTTTCACACTTTTTATCATAATAATTTGACATTTTGATAAAACTTAATGAAAAGTGAGAAAGGGTGTGGGTGTGGGTGTGGTTTTGAATAAAAGGAAGATTAAAATGCACACACCCTCAGCCTAGTTTCATCATATTCGGCGATTTTCATCATGATAGCAAAATCGACGTAGCAGTGCTTAATAAAATTTCGAGTGAGATGGGAGTGTCGTTTGGCCGAGGGAGCTCAACCAATTCACTTGATACGATGTAACATATCGTGTAGCAAAATCTGCTACGACTGGGGATTTTAATGACGATCAAAAATTAGACATTGCAGTCAAGCATAACATCTCTCTATGTAAACCCGTATCTATAAGTCTTGAGCCATTTTTAAACAATTCTTTCATTTACCAATACTAAGGAAAACGGACTATTGAACACAATGCTAAAGAACAAATGAACGATAAAGACATTAAAATCATCTATACACAAATAAAATCGATGCTTTAAGAGATTTTTTACTATGCACGCAGTTAACAGTGTGATTGTAAAAAATGATGTCGTATTGATTCATTTATAAATTAGGACAACGATGTCTAGGGGATGTATATTTTTGTCAAAATTTCTACTGTGTTCCACTTATATCCTGACTTTAAGATCCAATACGATGATCGTCCATAAAAGACTCAGATTAGATTAAACGGATATGATACTGTATAAAGAATCAATAGATGAAGCAAGATCATCATTGGCATTTTCTTCTACAAAAAGTGAAGATATAGACAACAATTTGGCTTTTTCTTATTCATATCCACAGCAACTCAATCTTAATCAAACTATCAGTTTTCTCTTCGGTTAAATTATTTGAACAGCGACAGCGTCTGCTTTATCAAGTAGATCTTCAAGCGCATTTTTTTCGTTTGCCTAACCCCGATTATTGACTAAAACATAAAATTCTCCCATTCATATATATACATCGTCATAAATTAATAAAAATTGATTCTTATATTTCTTCTTTTTTCAATTCTTGATATACTATTTTGAATATTTTTTCGTAGAATAAAACATACAAACCAAAATAATCTTTCTATTAAGTAATGAAAATACTTGTCAGTAATAGGATAGCATTCATAAATATTATTGGTATAACGAAAGCTTTCGAATAATCATCAAAAAGTGCTATAGAACACAAAATTATAATATTTAACGAAAGATTAAAATACTTGAACTTTGAGTTGTCACCAGTTTTTATCATTTTAAATTTTGTGCATTGATTTCATTGTCTATTGATATCATCATTAGTGATATTGAAGAAGTAATAATAGAATTTGGTATATCAAAAGAAGACTATATCTTCCTTACCTGTAGTTTATTGTCATTAGTTTGGTTGAATGGATTCAACTTTTCTAATTCTGTTTCATTATTAACCTTGAAGAAAATAAACGAATTCTATCAAAATTCGTATTTAATCAAACAAGTTTAATTGTTGTCTTATATTCAGTCAATTATTTCCATTGATTTGATTACAACATAAACAAAACAAATGCAACCTGTGATGTTAACAAAAAGTAAATCTTTATTTGTATAGTGTGGATGCAGATGACACATTCTCCTTCGTGCGTATCTAAACTCACATATCTCACATTCACACTTGCGAGATGCTAGGATCAGTTTTATTAAATATGAATCTCTTTAATCGACGGAAAAGCTTTTCGACTTAATTATTTTATAATGAATGAAGCTTCTATTACCGTTATTATTAAAAAGAATAGCTCATAATTTAGACAAAAGAACAAGATATTACTTACGCAACTCTCTCAAAGCATCCTTTTACTTATCTGTTTCTCGTAGGGAAGAGTATAACTAGAATAAATTGTTTGCTTGCTTGAATATCCATACTTCACTGATTCGTCCAAGAAATAGTGTGGAAAAAAAAGAAATTATTTTTCTTAAAACTTCACCAATGAGTCTTATTACTTTTCTTACAAGAAAATGTGAGTGAAAACTATCTATTTCACAACAAGACCGAGCTTCTTTCCAGTCTCCTACCTGTTGTACCGAGCATGACTGTACTAGGGTGCGGGTGAAGGTGATTGAAAAACAATCACCCACAGCCTCAAAATAGCTTACACAAAAATATTCAGAAGTTTTGGACAAACTCTTTTCGAGATATCAGTCTCTCGAAATATTGGTGTTCTTCTATAGCAATTATATATTTTCCGAGACTGATATATCAAAAAGGGTTTGTCCAAAACTTCTGAATTTCCTTATGTAAGCTATTCTCACCGAACTTCTCATGTACACAAAGTTTCAGGTCGACATTAGGAAATATGATTTTGCTGAGAAGGTGGACTTCTACAAAGAAAATTCACTGAAAGTTCCAATATCTTGGTGAGAGCGCTCATTTAACCTGACCATGTTCAATCAATTGAACTTACAGTAGATGCCCGCTCATCGTGAGTGTATGGCCCTAAGCATACATAACATCTTTTATGAAACAATCATCTTTCACATTCACTTATCGATAAGCACCTTCATTCTGTTTTAAGCTAGTTAGGGTGTGGGTGTCAGTGTGAGTGTGTGGAGAAAAGAGCCGCATCCACACCCGACACCCATACCCACACGCACACGCACACGCACACCCACACCCACACCCACACCCAATTTCAGCTCTTTACGTCAAGAACAAGTATAAAAAATATCATTTACAATATATCGTCAGTTATTATGACACAATCTTTGTATAACTTCGATAACATCATTTTTACTATAAACTCATTTTTTCTCTTTCTTATACATACAAAAAAAAGATATTTTGAAGATTTGTTTTTCATTGAAATTGTTCGAATGCTACACGATATCAAATTTAAACATCAATAAAGAAAAAAATATTTCTTCATGGATTATAAATAATACATTAAGATCATATTACCATCAAGATTCTTTCTATTAGCGTTGAGTCTTTAATGTCAAATAATATCATATGAAAATACTTCAAATGATATCACTTTGATAGATTAGAAATTATCAATAATTTTTAAGGCACTGAACATCTAAACGTGAAAAACTCTTCGTATGAAAGAATTTTTTTTCGAAAGTGTCAAAGATCAAAGATTGTTGACATGAATACTCTTTATCTATTAAAAATAATGAAACCCACTTATCAATAAACATGATTTCTTTTTATCGTTCTCATCTCCTCTTTTTCTCTTCTTATTAGATAAAACTTCTATTGTATTTGAAAAAACCATGAGCAGAAATGTAAACTATGATAACAAGTTTTATTCTGACCGACGAAAACAATATCTATAGATGTATATTAATACAACGAAGAAGTAGACTGAGCAAATAGGGAACATAAATTGATGATTAAAAAAAAAGTATGAAAATGAGCAAAAATTGATTTTGTACAATAAATTTTTTCCAAACATTTAAATCCATAACGGGCAAGTTTGAAAATGATTTTTTTCGTACTTTGTAAGCCGAAGAGATATGTGTTTGATATTGTTAATTTCAAAATAATTTTTTTTTATATGCTACAGATTAATGATAAGGAAAAACAGTAATAAATAATTGTCTTTTTAAATGATTTGAGTACAGAAAACATGAAAATTCAAATTTGTTGAGTTGATAACGGGGTTTTTGCATCGATAAGTCTTGCTAATTTGAAAGCAAGTACTATTATAAGTATCTAAAAACAAACAAAATCTATAACAACAAGGCAAATCAACGATATCAAAATATTTACGGCAAGGCCAAACACAACAGTAAATATAATAAGATCAATAATGATTCCTATTGATCCAGCAACTATAAATCCGCCTGACTTGTTATTCCCGGTGCCACTGGACGAAGCCGCTTTTGCTTTGATAAGAAAGAGAAATAATAAAATTCCAATACCAGCCAAAATAAGTAAAACAATATATAACCAAGCAAACTAAAATTTTATTAGCAAAATATTTATTTAACAACTCTGTTATATGGAGAGTTTCGAAAAGAAAGATATTAAAAGAATAAGCAAAATCGTTTTTTTATGCTTCTTATCAATTCTCGATTTTGTATTTTAAAGAAAATAAATTCAAGTTTACTTAATATTAAAAAAAAGACAATAAAACCTTTCTTGAGACAATTCCGGTTTTCTGTCATTCGGCATAGCTATGTTTTAATTTATGTGTAAAAGTTATTAAAATCAAAGTAATTATATTGATCTGAAAATTTCCATAGAACGAATATAATGAGGATCTCTTTAATTATTAATGAATAGTACTTATTAATCAAGAAATCATGCTCGGAAATGAAATCTTGATAAAGAATCGAAATCTTATGCTGACAAACTTATTAATGACGTTCATGCTTCAATAATCTCTTTATTTTATTTTATTTGAAATATTTCGGAAGATAATATCGAATATCACATTTATATACTCTAGTCAAAAAGTTTGTGCAATAGAACATTGCCACTTTTTTTTATATGTGATCTTAATCTATTCTGATCGAAACATCTATTATGTACTATTTTATCAATACAAACTTTAACAAACACTTATGACGGGAAATTGATTTTCTCTGACACAAAATATTTATCTAGTCCTTGGTGGATACATCTACCATCCATATTTACCGTTGGGATGCTCTCGGGAATAATCCGTCATCTCATGATGATTGGAATATCACTAAATCTGTTGAAATATGAATAACATACAAATTTGGTTCAAACTATTAAATTATTGATATATTTTATCTTGGTTATTAGAATTTTACAGGGTCTTAATAATAGATTTAATAAGTATTGATGTTTTCTTCTTCCGATTGATTAGATTTTCCTCTATTTTCTAAAATTCATCTTTTATTAACTAATTCTAATTGCAACGGAAATTCATAATGAACAAGACGTTGTTTCATATAACAAGATTTCTCATGAGATTAATCAGTTACCATACAGTAAGTGTCATAAGTGGATCCGTGCTCTTTTTGATATTGAACAATAACCTTTCTTTTATCTTTTTACTTTGTTTGGACGGACTATTCATAGTCATCATCGCATATAAATAGGAACATTTCTATTGCTTCTCTTATCAATTTATAACTCAATTAAAGAATGGACATTTCTATAAAGAAAAGATGGGAAATCGTATTTTTATCACAGCATCGGTATGGCCCACATATGTCAAATGCTGATATTTCACGATATTTACATGTCCATGAGTCGACTGTAAGGTATTGGCTTGAAAGATATGAAACAACTGGTGAGGTGGAAGTTATACAAAAATCTGGTCGTAAACGGT